TGTGGACACGGAGAAGCGCCGCTGCTCGCGCCATGCGTGGCCATAGCGTGCCAGGATCACGCCTGGGGGTGCGCGGGACGGTAGCCTTGGCCAGCACATCTAGGTCCTCCAAGGCCCCATCCCAGGTAGGCTCCGCCCCCTCAGGCTACCCTGGTAGAAGCCCCGCCTCACCCACGCCCAGCTCAGAACAGGCTCCGCCCCGACAGGCTCTGGCCAGGCTGGCTGCACCCCAGCCCTGAAAAAACCCGTCCAGACACCAGCCGGCGATTCTTCCTGCCTCGCTGCACCTCTGCGTGGCACCCAATCTGCACTTGCTTGTCCTCACTTGTGCTTGGGACAGTCTTCAGCCCTCTCCGCCCCCCTGTATGCACTTCGTACCCTGGGGCGAGCCCCGCCCTCTCCCGTGACTTGCCTTGGGCTTTGGGTCCTAAGCCAATGTGCTTGTAGATAGCCATGGGCGGGCGGTCGGAAGTGTCCTCACCGCGGAGCACTAGCGCCTCCCGCACGGCCTCCAGCCCACTGAGCACGACCACTGGCGTCCAGGCCAGCTGTAGACTGAACACGTCCCCGAAGCGGCGGCGCAGCTGCAGAGGGAGGGCAGGGGGTTGTCAAGCCGCATGCCTACACTGTGGCAGGACGCGTTCTCAGCGTGCAAACTTGGTGGAACCACTGGGTTACCAGTAGCCGGTGAAGGACGAATGTCACAGCGCGTTAAACGCCTTCTATAGGTTGAGGAGTTACTTGGATCCCACCGTCCACGTATGATTTTTTCTTTTTAATAAATGTTTTATTGTGATTATGTGATAGTTTACATGGGACAACATTAGTTTTACATTCATTCTATCATATATCGTTTCATTGCCATATTTACAATCCTGTCCATGCATCATCAATCAACCAAAGGTATACCCTGCAAGCTTGATACCCCACCCATCCACCCCACGCCTGGTCATCAGCACACAGCCCCTTTCCCTCTCTGGATCTCAACTCCCCAGCCACTCCATCTCTCCCGAGTCATCGTCTCTGCCTGCATCTCAGGCCTCACTGCTTCTCTGGATAGGGTCCCACTCTCCGCTCTTCTCCATTGATGGTCCCAGGGCCCTCCGCTCCTAGACTGAAAAGTTAATCACTCCCCTCCTTGCTATAAAATGTCCACCTTTACATTTCCAACCCTCCCAATCAGTCCTGAAAAAAATTATTCACTATTGCATCACAAGAGACCCATCTGCATTTCATTTCATCAGCCCCACCTAGACAGGTTGGATACTACTCACTGGAGACTCTACCTTCCTCCACGCCCTCTAGATCTAGGTTCCCTCTTGAAAGCTTCTAAGCCAGTCACTTCTTGCCTTTGTAGCCCAGCCCCCCATTTTGGGTAGCCAATGTCCAAGGTGCCCATCCCTGTCTACTCTTTGTGTGGAGGGGGTGGGAATGATGCTTGCTGTAAGGATTTTTGAGCTACTGCATCCATAGGTGTACGTCAAGTTCATCAAATTGTATCTAATGATACTTTTTTCCCCTTCTTCTTTCTTCTTCGTGTTGACCTCTGATCAACCAGTCATTGAAGCCAGGTCAAGTGGGTATTATCTGCAAGTGTGGGTGTTCTTGTGCAAATGCCCTTTCTTCTTATCAGCTCGTCCATGTGTGATTTTGCAATCGGTCAAGTGGTTCATTAACCCCATGAAACGTCTCATTTTACAAATCAGAAAACACATGTGAACAGTAGGCTCAAAGCACAGGGAAAAGTTGAACCCGAGTTAGTGCCCCTCCTCTCCAAACCAGCTTTACAGAGGGGTCACTACCCAGCCCCCACCTCATTCCTGAGTTCATCAGATTCAGAGTTTGCATAATTTGTGTCATCTATTGGATGGAAGGAGGCCTGGTGTGGTGCTGTAGGACAAGAACTGGACCTAAAGGTTAGTTGAAACCACAGGTTTGGCAACTCAGACTCACCAGTTGTATATGAGTCAGAAACCAACTCTACGGCACTTAACAACAACAATGGGATGCCAAGGACTCATGGTGTGACACTGTAGGATAAGCATTGGCTACTCAGTTGGTTTGAACCACAAGCTTGTCAGTTTAAACTCACCAACTACCGCTCAGAACCCTTATACAGGGTCACTATAAGTTGGAGCTAACCTCATGGCAGTTCACAACAACAACAACAATGGAAGGAAAACCTGCTCCACAGTCTCACGCCGCCTCCTGGCCTTCAACCCTTTGCAACCCACGCCCCAATTTTTGTTCTATGAAAATCTAAACCAACACTAAACTACCCCCCCAGGACACCTGCCTAACCTGCTTGTGTGTTGGACCAGCTCCTCATTTATCTTCCCCCAACACCCACTGTCAGGTGCTGAGGGGTGTTCAGGCCACTGGTGACCCACCCCACCTGTCTCACCTGGTTTATGCTGTGTGGCGTGTCCTGGAAATCCAGCTGTAGCAGATTGCCCAGTCCAGGCAGAGGCACAGGGCCTGGAGGGTAGCGGGCAGCCCAGCGAACTCGCCGGTGCATCAGATCCACCAGGAGCAGGAAGATGGCCAAGGCCACAGCCAAGGTGGTCAGGGCCTCCCCAGTCAGCAGCCCCATGGTGCCTCACTGCCTGCAGGGCTGGATTGCTGGGCTGAGTGGTAGCGCAATCCAGCTTCCTAGGATCAGACCTGAGGCACACCACATGCAAATGGCTCTTCCAGCCTGTCCGGAATTATATAAAGGGTCAAAGACTGGCCATTGCCCTCCACTCTTAGCTAACTGCTGTGGATCAATGCCTGCACTGGACACTGGACACAGGGAGGAGCCTGTCCAATTGCAGGTGGGAGGAGATTCAAGAACTGGGCTCTGCCTCCCTGG